ACCATGTAAGAATTTAGGTAGTACCACTACTAAGAAGCCTTCTAAGTAGAACTAGAAGAGCTGTCAGTGAACGTTCTCCAGGCAGGCATCTCTGATTACTGCTAAACAGATTCCTGGAGGGCAGGAATTTATCTTCGCAGTAGCCACAGGCCCTAAAACAGTATCTTTCACATTGCAGGCACTCAATAAATGTTTGCTGAATTGGCCAAACCTTGGTTTCTCCCCATAATTAACCATTCCAAAGGCACACAGATAATGATTTCTTGGAAAAATTCCAACTAGTGTTTGATGTTACCTATGTGGTTTTCTCTCAAGAGCGGCTCTGTATGGTTATTTTGTTTTTTCCCCTTTGACCTTAATATCATCTACTTGAATAACAGCTTCATATAAAATTCCTAGCAGCACATACCATAGCAGATTCAAGGATTGTTTTAAAAATGATGCCAGCATCCCTCAATTTAGAAGACAAAGAGTTTCTCCTTCTGAACAGAGGCTAAGAAAATGCATGATGAGATTAACAGAGAGCTAAAGATATTTTGAATATATCTTTTTTTAAGATCGAAGTTTTTTTTAAGAATTAAAGAAAACCACAAACGTGGCCTTCATTAAAAAGTAATCCTGCATTTAATAAAAGTGTCCAATTACAAAGTTCATTTTGTAATGTAGCTTTTTAAACAAGCAGCAAAAATGCTGCATTTAAAATGGGCAAGTGCAAAAAAAAAAATAACATGCCCAGGATGACCAATGTTTGGGCAACAGTTAAAATATTATTCTATATTTTGCACAACTTAGAATCATTCCCATATTGTATAGTCTAGATCCAAGCATTAATTTCAAATGACCTTGGCCCTTGAAATCTTAAATTTAAGTCTTCAGAACAAAACAACTTTTCTGCTTTATGGGCAAATGAACTAAATACTAGGGAATGGTACTGTCTAGGCCTTTGATGAAATACTATTTGATGTGTATAAATATTAGAGAATCCATTTTGTTTTAATAAAAGGATGGCTTTATTTCATATCCTGTGACAAAATATTCCCATTTCCTGAACATGCTCTCTTATTCCAACAATAGGGGGTTGTTGTTGTTTTTCCCAGGGTCAGGGGTGGAGGGATCACGATCACTGTTAAATTCATTTCTCAAAATGCAATGTGGTGGGAAATTCAGAATGCAGTGAGGGGAAATAAACGACTGACTTCACCAAAACATAAGGCTGCATTTAGGGCAGCAGGTAAAGGCTATAACAACAACAGTATAACTTCATTACTTGCAATCTTGTAGTTCCCTAAATCTCGATAGCACATTACTTTAGAAGCTTCAGACAGATGGTTTTATAATACTTTATCAGTATTTTAACACCTGAAAAAGCCTTAAAGTCTTAAATTTCAGAAATGAACTAACTCAATCCTTTTATTTTTCACTCTTTATCAAATTTTTCATGTTTTCATTAATTGATGAATAATGAAGATTTTTAGGTACCTATTCACCAAGAAATGAAATTTTTACCTTTCTAAGATCCTGAAAAATGAAGAGAAAAAAAATCAATTAAAAAATATTGTCAAAGAAATCTTTCAGAATAGAATCTTACACTTAACAATTTATACTTACCTAGTTCTACTATTTGAAATGCATTCAGACTTTAAAGCTAACTTGCCTGAAAATGAAGCTGAAATCAGATAACCTTGACTGATGGATTCAGCCATACAACTGGCAAGACCTACTCCATAGGCTTTTTGCATTAACCAAATAAAGTCCTTTATACTTAAGCCACTTTGAATTAGTTTTGTTACTTGCAGCTAAAGGAATCCTGAGTCTAACAATGTGACAACACTAAAAATAAACATGACTGCTTTTGAGATTTCTAATGGATTTTCCTCCTCATATATACCCTTAAGTAACACCAGCGTTTGGTTGTATCTGATTTCATGTTTAGCTGAGGTCTTGAAGATCCCAAAGGACCAAGACAGAAAACATCTGTTGTTTTAGCTACTGTATTAGTCTTCATCAGCATTCTTTTTGGGTGAAATATAATGCAACTGACCCTTTAAGTAGAACTAAGGTAGAATGTGCTGTTTCTGCCTGCTCAGCATCCCTTCTCCAATTTTCCTTTGGACAACTTCACTAACCTAGACAATTTGGAGCTAACACCAAACCCTTTTCCACAGGAAGACACCTGAACCAAGCTTAACCATCAGAACAGCCCATTCTCCATGCTTAGAGAGGGGCAAGTGACTCAGACTGCTCCTGTAAGAAGAGTCCTGAGACTTTTGCTGCAAATACTGCAAAAAAAAAAAAAGTACTTTCTTTTTCTTTCTTGCTAGGACTAAGTTGGTGGGAGCTTTTAAAGGGCTTACATGTGGAAATAACTTGTCTGAAAATGAAGCTGAAACCAGAAAACAGATCCTGATAACCTTGACTGATGGATCCAGCCATACAACTGGCAAAACCTACTCCATAGGCTTTTTGCATTAACCAAATAAAGTCCTTTATACTTAAGCCACTTTGAATTAGTTTGTTACTTGCAGCTAAAGGAATCCTGAGTCTAACAATGTGACAACACTAAAAATAAACATGACTGCTTTTTTATGGATTCCTAATGGATTTTCCTCCTCATATATATCATCTCATTTAATCCTCACAATTCAGGAAACACCTATCTGTTAATATTAAATTAACATTATTTTAGGAATACTTACTATGTAGAAGAGGGATGGGGAATGCTAGGGGAGTGATCAGTATGAAATATGGCGGCCACAGAACTCTCACTTACATTGGAGAAAAGCTGAAGACACGTATCTCAGGGCACCCAATAGATATTCATCAGTTGAACAAAAATAGACAGTATATAGCAGAGCCAGAGGTAATCCTTGTACTAATCCTGGAATGATAAATTAGGAGTCTCCGGCAGTAGCCCCAGCCAGAGATGATGAACCCTAAACTCATTCTCACAGGGCTGCCTATGAGAATGCCTCAAACATAGGACATAAAGATGGAGTCAAGTTAGGTGTGGGAGCCCCTAGGTAGATGTGGCTCTTGTCGGGATAGGAAAAGAATGAAGGGCAGAGATTGGGAGGCAAGGAAGGAAACAAAATATGGGTCTATGCCTGCAGGACATTTTAGCAAAGAGATCCAGCTAGCCCTCAGAATGACAGGTCTGGGCTGCAGAGAGGGTGAGAATGGAAATCTAAGATGGAGAATCACTGGCATACAAATTGCTATTCAGGCTTGGGCATTGCTGGCCACAGCCTCACATGAAGAAAAGAGGAAGTGGCTGGCAACCATGTTTCTTTAGGTAATCTCAGTGCTGCTTGTGAGCTCCATGAAAACAGGTTTTCCCCAGATAGGTCCAGCACTCAATAAATAGTTGGGGATGACTGACTGTGTACAGTATGCCATTGGTTCTACATGGTGTTTCTCCTGGGACCCTCCACGGCTGGAGCTGGCAGTCCTGGCCATTATACTGGGTGCAGTCTCATTATTCAGCTCTCACCTCTTAAATTAGTTCATGCTCTCACATTAGGTGTAATCACAGCTGGCAACGCTTTCTGGGGAATGTCTCAAAAAAATCTGAGTTGAAAAAATATTTTTGTGTTATTTTAATTTAAAGTAAAATTGTTGTCTCTTTCTAACTCTTTCTCCTGCTGAATCCAGTGACCCTGGCAGGCCTCTGAAAAGAGGAAGGAGTCAGAGTTAGGTTGCTCCCGGGTAATTCTTTAAATGGTTATCAGTTTCAAAGAAACAAAGGATGTTGAAAAGCTGAAAGACATGGCTGTTGGCAGCTTTCCAAGGCAGGTTTCCCCGCGGCTTGAAGAGGGTACCCTGGGGGAGACCGACCCCGTTGGCAGCGAACCCGGAGGCCGAATGGAGGTGCTGTAGGTCCGCGCCCTTCCTCTCTCCAGATTCCCCAGCTCGAGCAGGCCGCCACCGGCTGCACATCTACTCTGGTTCCGCTAAGCACGCAGTTTCAAGGTCGCCTGGTAGTGACCAGAGCGTCAGGTGCCCGGGTGAGCCTCATCCCGACCAGCTTCTTATTTCGGGTCCCAAGCCGGCGCTTTTGCTTTGGACTTGATGGAGAGGTCCGCTCGCCCTTTTACCTCCGCTTGGTTAACTGCCCATATTCATCCTGCAGGTCTCAACCTTTCGATATCCAGGGCTGGAAAGCGCCCTTCCTCTTGCCATCTCCGCAGCATCTCTCTGCCACTGAGCAGGGCTGTTTTCTCTTTTCACGTTTGTGACTACATGTATGTGTGAAGTTCTAAGCGCATGAAGGGTAAATTCGTTTACGGTCAACATTCCCCATGAAAAATCGCCCATAAATAACAAGATTTGGTGTCTCCACTAAAGGCAATGATATGCAGGTAGACGTGGATAAAACTCAGAGTAAAGGTGCACAGTAAATAAAAAAGTACGCATGCAAAATACAAAGTGTAATTGCAAAAGAGAAAAATGGCATCAGGGATGTGAGCCTGCCCTGAGACGCCGTTTTACTGCAGGAGGCACCACGGCAGGCTTTGTTTTTGCTCACTACGGCACCCTCTGCGCCTGGTCTAGTGCCGTGCATGCAAAGATCTATGCAGAATAAATTAACAAATGAACAAATGAATGAATACACGCTCAATCCGACTCCGCGGACTGCAGAGCGCGCGGTTCGAGAGACAGGCGAGGGCGGCTCTCCTAGGTTGGTCCTGGTGGCCGTGACCCGGGAAAGCGGGCGCGGACACACCGACCCAGAGCCCGGCGGGGCTGGCTCCCGGCTGCTGCACGTGCACCTCCAGCGGAGGCCGCGGTGCACACCCCGCCCCGTCCCGCTGCTCACGCACGCGCCCTGAAGCTGGGCCGCCCGGCTAGCTCTTAGGCCCAGGCTCACCCGCGCAACTGCTGTCCCTTGCGCCTGCGCCCGCTGGGGGGCGCTCCTCTCCCACCCCCGCGCGCCCACTCGCGGACGCCTCAAGGTGCCCTGCGATTCTGGTCCGACTCTTGGCGCACGCGCCGCCTCCTACCTGAGGGCCGGCGAGGGAGGCGGGCGGAAGGGCTGACGGGGCTGAACAAGACCGTGGCAGGAGGCGGGAAGCAAGAGAGCCGCGGCGGACAGTCCGGGCGTGGGGACGCGCGCGCGCGCGCTCCCGGCCCTCACTCCCTTAGTCGACTCCCAGCCAGAGCCCAACCCTGCTGCCGCGCGCCTCCCGCCTCACCGCGCCTAATAACAACTGCGCCCGGGGTCAGGTGGCCGCGCGCGGACAGCGCCGCCATTGGCCCGATGGGGAGCGCGGCGCACCAGGATTGGATGGGAGGCGGAGCCTCGCCGGTGCGGGGGCGGGGCTGTGAAGGGAGGCGGTTAGGGAGGCGACGGGGGTGGGGCCAGGCCGCGATCCGCGCCTTTGTGCCCGGCGCGCGCTCTTCGCCCGTTCCGGCTGCAGCGCCGGCTGCATCAATAATTCAGAGCAGCGGCGGCGGCGGCGGCGGGTACGGGCAGGAGGCAGCTGGACAAGCGGGGACGGTGCGGTAGCGGTTATGCATCCAAGTGCGGCTAAGCAACCTCGGTACCCCTGAGGCCCGGGCGGGGCTCCGGGAGCATCGCGCGGGGGGCACGATTGCCCAGGAGTGCAAGGAAGAGCAGTAGTGTTCAGAGCGGCGTCGGCAGAGCTGCGCACGGAACTGAGGAGGGGGCTTTGGAGTGGGGCTGGGGAGGGGGGGGCCGGCTGGCGCAGGCAGCCCCCGGGGTGGGGGGCGGGGTGGGCGCCGGTGCCGCGATGCTGGGCGTCGTGGAGCTGCTGCTGTTGGGGGCTGCGTGGCTGGCGGGCCCAGTCCGCGGGCAGAATGAGACGGAGCCCATCGTGCTGGAGGGCAAGTGCCTGGTGGTGTGTGACTCCAACCCCACGTCTGATCCCACGGGCACAGCTCTGGGCATCTCTGTGCGCTCCGGCAGCGCCAAGGTGGCTTTCTCTGCCATCAGAAGCACCAACCACGAGCCGTCCGAGATGAGTAATCGCACCATGATCATCTACTTCGACCAGGTGAGTGGTCCATGCAGATTGGGTTGGTGGGGGGTGGGCGTGGATGAGAAGTGGAGGACAGATGTTACTTCCTCTCCAAGGTCTCTCTGCGGAGGCGTGGGGACAAGAGTTCGGGACTGACTCTTGCTTACTCCCCTTCGTTCCCGTCTCGCTATAGGTACTAGTGAACATCGGGAACAACTTTGATTCAGAACGCAGCACTTTCATCGCCCCGCGTAAAGGGATCTACAGTTTTAACTTCCACGTGGTAAAAGTCTACAACAGACAGACAATCCAGGTCAGCCGCCGTCTCAGCGCCAGGCCCCGGCCCCAGTAGGGGGCTACTAGCTGCAGGAGTGAGCTGCCCTGTGGGCGTGGGAGATAGAAGGGGCAGCTGCATGTGCCCGGGGCTGCTGGGAGGGGCAGGTAGCCGGGCCTCACGGTTCTATGGTTTGGGCTTTCCCTGTCGCCCGCTCTCGGAACCTGATCCGCTTCCCAGACACGGAGTTTCCTGCCTCCGCCTTCTTGTCCCTCCAAAGAGGTTCTCTCGCTTTCTTACGGGACTCCAGGGATTTCCCTTAGCGGCTGAGGTTAGCATCACAGGCAGTTGTCGCTTCCAGAAGCTTTCCGCAACCCTCGCCTTCAGAATCACGGACAGTATATCCCATCCCTTGTCCCATCTCTCAAGCCTTGAAGACGTCCGTGCGTTTGCCTTCAGCACCACAGGCAGCGGGCCTCCAGGCCGTCCCTGAAGGGACCGACTCGAGGGTTTTTGAACTAGCAGCGCCGAGCCCAAGCTGTGAATGGGTGGGAAGAGAAGGGAGGAGGCGTAGTGCTGCTCCCTTAGGGCTCCAGCCCTGTCAAGGCCAGCACTCACCGTCTCTCCTAGTTTCTAAGGGTGTCCAGGTTCCTCTGGGCGGAGACAAAAGGTGGAAAGCGCCGCTGGGGAGAGGGCGCTGGGCCTTTGGCCCTGATGCCACCGCGAGGGCAAAACCAGGCGGTGGCAGCGCGGCTGGATCTTGGACAGGAATTGAACCTGGGGTTTGGGGAGGAAACACAGAGTGCAGCTTTGGCGAGATTTCTCATCAGCTGGAAGCCTTGCCCGGTTTCTCCACTGTGTCTCTGCTGTGTTCAGACAGTTAGGACCCCGAAGAGCCAGGGTTTTTGTTTATTTGTCTTCCAGAAGCTCCATTTGCCAGAGTTTCCCTTGGAGACTGGTGGGGGGCGGGGGAGGGGAAGCCGAAGGTCTCAGGTAACTTGAGCCACCTACGGGTTCATTAAACTGGATAAAAAAAAGAATGCAGTCGGAATTCACTTGGGAGCGCTCCGGGAAAAAGTGTCTCCCATTTGGGGGGCAGACCCTGCCTATCGTTCAGATGGGCCATTTTGCGCCCCACTGGACCCTCTGCAGTAAGCTGCAAAGCCCCTTTTCCTCTCGCTCACTCTCCAGTCACAATGCTTCCAGGCCTTTATCACTGTTAGTCCAGCCGCGAACGTTCGCGTCTCCGCCGCCGCTTTGGTACCCGCCCACGTAGCGCCTCTGAAGCGGGCCTTTCTGTTTCCTAGGTGAGCCTCATGTTAAACGGATGGCCGGTGATTTCAGCCTTTGCTGGTGACCAGGACGTGACCCGGGAGGCCGCCAGCAACGGAGTTCTTATCCAGATGGAGAAAGGCGACCGAGCATACCTCAAGCTGGAGCGGGGAAACTTAATGGGAGGCTGGAAGTACTCGACGTTTTCCGGATTCCTCGTATTCCCCCTCTGACTGACTCATCGCCGGGATGCAGGCAGGGAGAGGGCGAAGGCAGGAGGAAGGCAGGAAGGGGAATGAGAAAGAGGCCGAAATTTAGAGGACGAGAAAGCGGCACGACTTGAAACTTCCTACTTGTTCCCCAGCCCAGCTGTATCCGGGTAAACGTTGTGCGCCGGCGGTGGGAAAACTTTGTCCGATTCCTCATTAGGAGAAGTAAATTCCGCTTAGCTCTGCGCACTCTCCTTTCCAAAAATAAACTCGCCTCCCCCATTCCAGTTGCGGTAACCAAGAAAGAGAGACTGCATTGTCATTGTTTCTTACCCACTTTCATGTTCCCTTACAATTTATATAAAGGAAACTTTGTATTTCACTGTATAATGTGAAATATCTTCCTCTTCAGTCCCCCTCTGAATCTTTACATCTGCTGAAATCTAATATGCCCCTCCCACCTCCCCATGTTTAATTTGGAGAGGGGATAAGGTGTTTTTGTTTTTGTTTTGGATTGGGGAGGTAGTTTTAATTTGGCAAGTATTGCTCTTAAAACACTGCTCAAGGGTTAATTAGCTGAAGATACTTTGTATCCATGGCTGCTTGTTAGCAGAGAAAGAACTCAACCTTAGTGGTGACTGGTTTAAAAAAATATATATATATGTATAAATATATATCATTTGTACACGAAGAACTGTTCCCAGTGAAAACTGGCTGTATTTCCGTATTTCTATGTCCTATTCGGAGTGATCGTGAAATCTAAGGCTGCTTGATATTCTGATGCTTGTCAATGCCCTCGTGTTCTGTGGCTCCACTAAACGCCAGGAGGTTCTTCCGGATGCTTCCTTGTCCTCTGTAACATACGTGTGAATAGCTAAGATTTAATTTTGCTTCAATTGAATAAAATTGAAGTGGGACTTTTATTTTTCTGAAACAGCTTTCTAAACTCCACATCTTCCCCAGCTACGAGGTTTGGGGGCGGGGTGCGGAAGGGTGAGGTGCTGAGGTGCAGAAGACTTGGTAAATTGCAACCCGAGAAAGGCCAGGGCGGGAGGGATTCTTTGCGAAGTCGGCCTGCGCTCCTTCCTGCTCCAGGCTTAGAGCCAGCCCGGCATTCGCCTGTGCTCCCCGTTTTGGCGCAAACGGTAAGGAATTTGGCCGATATCTTTCCAGGCCAGGCGCGGCTCCCGGCATGGAAGTCAAGTTTGGGTGTTCCGAAATTCAAATGCATTAGGAATAATCTCAGTTCGAGGAGCCGGAATGAGCTTGCCCTGAGCGGCAAGCTTCCCACGCCCCTGCCCCGGATTTCTCCAATCGTCCGCTCCACAGTCCCCGAAGCAGCGTGTTTTGTACCACCGCCTCCGAAGCCAGAGTCCGCCCGCGGTATTACTCAGGCTCTCTGTGATTGCGCTCATCCCAGGACTTTTATTCAAGAGGATCGTCCAGGAGTTTTGATTGTATCGGAACATAATGTGAAAGCAAAATTGAAATAAACGACTTCTTTAAGTCTGGAAGTCTGACCCTGTAGTGTTGGCAGCAGGAGGTCGGGCCCAAGAAGGAGGGTGGGCTGCCGAGGGCTTGGGGCGAGAACCGAGGCCTGGGTGTTGCCTCTGGCTCCCGTCCTTTTACAAGCTTTTTCCTGGCTCGAGAATCAGGGATGAATTTAATAAGGTCCTGAAGAGTTGAGGAAAGCGGGGAGGGGGGCGGGAATTAACAATAAGACGATAATAAACGGTTCTCGTTATTTCTGCGGCTTGTCTGATTTAGAGATTCACTGAACACGCGGCTTTGGTTGAAACTCGGGCTCTGATTCTCCTTCGAGTACAATCTAGGGGCCGCGTCTCTGCCAGACCTTCTTTGCAACCCCAGCGGGGTTCCGCAGAGGACAGGTAGGGACCTTCAAGGATAAGAACTGGGCCCGACTGCTTTAAGGTTCCTGCCCCACGGTTCATTCCCCTACCCTGACCCCAGTCCCCAGGGAAATGGAGATGGGGTGTAATAGGGAGCTCTGGAGGAACTTAAAAAGAAAAACTAGTCTTTCAAAAAATTCAGCATTCTTCTGGTTGGGAGGCAGAGGTTAGGGAGAGCTGGATGGAGCCTTTGGCAGCCAGTGGAACTAGCTCTGTCCAACTGCTCTGCAGGCGCAGAGCAAGCCCAATAGGCTTGCAGGCCCGGCGCGTCCAGCACTCTGCTCCTAGGTGAGGGCTGTGGGCCCTGCGGATCCTGTAGCCACCACCTAAGGAAGCCGCACCGGGAACAAACTGGGAGCTCACTCGTTTGGGGGTGGATGGTCACCCTTCTCCCTGAGAAAGGGAACACCAGGGTGGCTGCCCAGGCTGTGGGACCACCAGGCTATGCTCCAGCCAGGTGACTTTGGCAAGTACCCTCTCTGGGCCTCAGTTTGCCCATCTGTATAAAGGCAGAGAGGAATCTAAACATATCCAGGAGTTCCTCCTGCTCTGAGGTTCCAGCCGTTCTCTGTCCTTTGACCAGCGGCCCACAGTTCTTATGCCTGGATTTAGTGAGTCTTGGTTGTGG